AGCAAGGCTGGCTGGGGAATCCTGGGAGTTGAAGTCCATACATCTTCAAGTTGACAAGGTTGAGAAACACTGTTCTAGTATAAAGCTCTCTGTTTGAGACAGGCTCAGTGAGGGAAGCAACACCTGTTGATTGAGTGCCTGGAGGACCAGTTTCTCTTGGGCCTTGAATCCTGAACAGCCTGCCCTGTTGGACCAAATTTTCACTACTTGCCCTTCCTTCTCTTGCCTTAGCCCCGTGGAATCTCACCAACTACTTTTCTGTTTTGCTGGCCCCAAATAACCTTTTTTTGGAACGAGGCCCCCGACTGTATCCCCACATTTGTGAAACCCAAGTCACACAGCGTACGTGTGCATCTGTCTGAGGTGGGTCCTCTTCTCTCCAGCTGTCCCAATTCTAGGCTGTAGACCGGCTTTTCCCAAGCTGGTGTCTCCCAGTGTCAACTGGGATGGAAAAACATTGCAGTCCCAGAAGTCTGGCGGGCATCCGCTGGCCGAAGACTGATGAGGGCCGTAAATGAGTTTTCTCATTGTTCCATCTGGCTAACCAAGAGAAATCAGATGCCTCGAAGTGACAGCCCTGCTTTTCTCTCAATAGCGACTTAACTAGACTGACTGGTCTGAAAAGAGAACATGCTACTTCTTTAAAAATGGGATGGAATGAATTTTAAGCAGGTGGTCACCCTTGTGCCTGACAGCGCTCTCCCTTCACCATGCTTGAGCCCAAAATGCTTTGATGGTGTCCCCCCAGAAAGATCTCTGCACGTAGGTACCGGAAAGATGCACCTTCCCAATTTGTGTAACCTGCAGAGAAGAGCGGACAATGGATTGTTTAAAAAACTAAGATGAGCGATGGTGGGTTGGTTGAACTGCTTCCCGTAGTGATCAACCAGATGTCTCCAGCCTTTTCAAGGCAGACACAAGTGCAGTGTTCCTGTATCTTGTTCCAGGATCAAGGATCAAGGAGTCCCCTATGTCATGCCGCTTTCTCATGTTTAATGGTATGTTAAACCGTATTTCAATTTGCATCGTTCTAGATTTTGAATGAGGGCCACTTTGGTGTAGTGGTTGAGGCTAGAAACCAGGAGGTGGTGAGTTCTAGTCCTGCCTTGGGCACGAAGCCAGCTGGGGGACCTTGGGCCAGTCCCTCTCTCTCAGCCTTGGCAAGGAAGCGGCCAGGGCAAACCACTTCTGAAAAACCTTGCCAAGAAAACTGCAGGGACTCGTCCAGGCAGTCGCCAGGAGTCAACTCCGACTCGACGGCACCCAGAAAAGAAAAAAAAGATTTTGAACACTTGCAATGCTGCTGCCTCGTTTGCAGCATCTTTATTTTGCATCTGATTCAGTTTTGGGGCATATGTTTTAACTCGGATTGTATTTTAGCGTGTCTTAGTGTAAACTGAGCTTC